TCTATATATATATATATATATATAAATAAAATAAATTAAAAATAAAATTATAGATAATATAATAAAAATATAATATATAATAATAACTAAATATAAAATATCCTTCTTGGTATTTAAAAAAAAAATTAAAAATAAAAATATAAATAATATAATTATAATATAATATAATATAAAATAATAAATATATAAATATAAAATATCCTTCTTGGTATTTAAAAAAAAAAATTATAAATAAAATTATAAATAACATAATTATAATATAATATTAAATAATAAATAAATATAAAATATCATTCTTGGTAATTAAAAAAAAAAAATTATAAATAAAATTATAAATAATATAATTATAATATAATATAAAATAATAAATAAATATAAAATATCCTTCTTGGTATCTAAAAGAAATAAAAATTAAAAATAAAATTATAAATAACATATATTAATATTATATATAAAATAATAAAAAATAATAAAAAATAATATAAATAAATATAAAATATATATAATCAATATAATATATAAATAAATATAATATAAAATAATATACACAAAAAATAATAAATAAATAAATAAATAAATAAATAAATATATATATATATCTGTGTACCAATTTAAAAGGAAAAATATCATTCAAATGAACTATCTTTATAGTTTAAAACCTTTCCAAGTTTCTAACAAACCCATTTCTCTTATCTTAACTCATTGGTTGTCAACTTCTTCAATTTCAAGGTATACCTACTTTGATGTATGGATTAGCTGCAACCTTTCTGATACGACATCAAGAAACCGTAAAAACATCACGAGGAAATATTACCATTTACTTTTTATTACCTGAAGATAAAGGTTCTTTATACTGATTAAAAATATTTACAACAATAATCATCAAATAATTTCATATTAAAATTCACACATATGTACAATTTATGATATTTAAATAATGTCATATTGTTAATATTTATATTCAAATTATTATTTTACTTATTATATCATTAATATAACGAGATAATATTATTATTCGAATAATAATAATCCAATTGAAATTGTAATTGTAATTGAAATTGAAATTGAAATTCGTTGATGCAATTACAACGTCACCGATTCGAATCGGTTAAACCAAGGTAGAGTACCCACCATACTTTACTAAGGGACAACTAACAAGACTTGTGTCGAGGGTGTGTGCCAATAATGTAAATCCTATTAATATTGCCAGAAGGCAATTGCAAATGCGTTAGATTAACTAACCTGCAAATCAACTAACTCTTATCATTAACATAACTTTCTAATTAGCTACTCGTGTTAAACCTCAGAGACATAAACTGAAATCATAATAAAAAGGGATTTCTCATTTCTTAACGTTGACAGAGTTCAACGATGAAAGATTAATGATCTCACCCATCCCCCTAACCACCACCCACTCACCTATTCCTTTTTTGATTTTATCATAAACACCATAATCTAATATATTAATTATGTATCAAGTTTTAAATAATGAATCTCATTGTTCTTTTCCTATTATTTTCCTTCTTTCTTTCTTTCTTTCCTTTTTTTTGTTTTTTTTTATTGTTTATTTACTTATAAAACAAAACAATAAATATATTTGCAAAACAATAAAAAAGAAAAATAATAAAACATATCGTTTAAAAAGTGTGTGGGTTGGTTGTGTATACGTACGAATATTTCAACGAGATAAAACACGCCCACGCACACATACGTTTCTATTCGAAACATTGGCGCTAATGGCCAATTCTATTGGATTATTTTCTATGGAATAATGTTCATTAAATGATTTATTTATTTCAATCCGTAAATTCGATTAACATTTTTAATATATGCATAGACACACACATTATAAATATATACATATTATTCCATAAATTGATTAAATTTGAAAACGTGACAAGGAACATTTTAATTTATAGGTTAGGTTATATTAGGCTAAAAAAAATTTGCAAAATTTCATTCGATTTATATTGATTGAAAATATCCAACTATTTAAACTGTATTTTTATTAATTTATATTTTTATTTTGTATTAAGTTTCTTTTGTGATTTTTTTTTTTTTTTTTCATTAAATTGAACATGGTACTACGTGAGACAATTTCAATCGATGTGAGAAATATAAGTAAAAAAAAAACTATTATTCATTTAATTTATAACTTTCACTATAGAATAGACATAAACTTTCTCCATAAAACTTGTCAAAGTCTTTCGTAACAACTAACAACTACTTTTTTCCAATTTTTTTTCTTCAAAATTGCAATACTCACCGACTTCGATCTTTTCGAAAAATAAGCTTCGGAAAATAACTGTTACACGTACGTAATACTTACTGTATTACGTTGTTCGAATGTATATTAAAAAAAAAAAAAAAAAATACACATAAAAATAAAGTAGTATAATAAATCAACCTGTAAAATCCTGGGAAAAGGAAGGGAAAAGGAAGAGAGAAAAAAAAACACACATACACACACACACACACAGAAATAACTATTACCGTTTAACTATCTTTCTTTCTAGGAGTAGGAGTAAAGGGTGGGGGAATGGTAGTAAGAGTGGGGGTAGAATTAATCGTGAAGAAACTTAATTAATATTCCAACATCGTGCTACTGAATACGTAGCGGTACACCTATTGAAATTCAAATTCATTTCGTAGCTAATTAAACTCATCGTGATCCAACCAATAAGGTTGTTTTCTTCATATTATATTTTCTTTTTTCTCTTTCGATAAATTTATTTGACAATTAACAAATTTTACAAGAAAACAACCAAGAATAAGAAGAAGAAGAAGAAGAAGAAGACAAAACAAAACAAAATATCAAGCAGGATCCTTTTAAAAGATAACCACGGTGATTTAGTTGAATCAAGGCTCATAAAATAAAATAAAAAAACGACCAAATTTTTAACCTAAGCAAGAAGAAGCATTTTGTCGGGAACATCGTGCAACCTTAAAGTCCACCCCCTCCACCTCATTCCATTACCCTATACCACCACCCCCCACCCCCACTAGATATAATACTACTCGTGTATCCTAACTTCTATGGGTCGATACAGTGAGAGGATGTGGAAGGAAGAAGAGAGAAAGAAAGAGGGGAGTATATAAGATAAAATGAGAAGAGAAATAAAAAAGGAATAAAAAAAAAGGGGATAAAAAGACTCGAGGACGAAGCAAGGAACAACGAAGGGCGCGTCACGAGCAATTAATTTCACACGAGCTCCGGGAACGAAACATTTGCATGTACGATTATTAGTTACTGACTTTAATTTAAGATATTATCTAAACTCATAATCATTATAACCTAATAACACATTAAATATATGTGTGTATATATTTTTATTATTTTTTTTTGTTATTGGATTTTTTAAATAAATATTATTTGATCGAATGAAAGAAAAATAAATAAAGTTAAAATTAAAATTGAAATATTTGAATTAACTGTATTCTTGCAACAATGTTAAATTAACTATGCAACACAATATTTCAGTAATTTTTTTAACAATTTGAGATTATGATAAATAAAAGTAATTTATAAAATATTCTATATTTTAAAAAAATGTTTAATTAAATGAATTTATCTATTATTATGTTATTTATCAAATAATAAAATAATAAATACAACTATAAAATACAATATCTTAGTAATTTTGATAGTTTGAAGTTATGATAAATAAAAGTAATTTATAAAATATTCTATATTCAAAAGAAATGTATAATTAAATTAATTTATCTATTATTATGTTATTTATAAACTAATAAAATAATAAAT